TTAAACTAGTGCAAGAAAAGAAAACAAAAACTTGATAGTCTCTCTGTGCTAGTAAATGATGGTAATCTTCACTTTGTCTAAAACTTCAACAATTATCAAATAAAGCAAAATATTACAGACAGAGTAACTGGGGTTTTTTTTCAACTATGAAAGCAGGAACAAATTAACACTTGAAAAAAAAAGATACACATATTCATTTATCTATGTGATGACCTGGAAAAAACCTCAGTTCAGGTTGGTGCTTATGCATTTATGGTGGTATAACAAGGCTCCTCCCAAAACTGCTCACTCTTTCAAATTAAAACAGTGGCAGGTCACAATGAATGTTAGAACAGTTTATTATTGTCACTCCTTTTCCTCTACCATAAGAAAGGAAAACACTTGTTTTTGTAGACAATCCCCATGTCTATGCTGGACCGGGTATGTGCCCATAAAAAACCTTTCAAGTACAGATGCAGCTTATTCCAGCAGAACCACTGTAAGGAATTCTGCCAACTCTCTGAACAGTGACTACATTATCAAAGAGGCTCTTATGCCTGCTCTGTAGCCACTGCTTAGACAGCAGTGACACACTTTCACGCTGGCTGCTACATCTACCCTAAAAAGCAGCAGCCATTAGATTTACCACAAGCCTAATGCAGCATGAAGAGGCACAATCACCGACCATTAGAGCCTTACTGTGAAACCCAACTGCAGTTATGCAGATACAACTTCCCTGGAACCATGTGGAAGTATACCAGCAAAACTCCGGAAAGGCAGCAGGCAGCACACCCAGGCATCCTTGACTGCAGAGCTCTTCAGCTCTATCCTATGGGCTTACCTCTGCTGGAAAACTTCATGAATACAGAAAGGTACCTAGGAAACTGGAAATGCAGCTTATACTAGCACAACTTTGGGGCTGTCCTCTCAGTACAACTAAACCATATACATAAACTGTACTGGAAAAGGACATGTGAGGGAGCTGGGGCAGGAAAGCTGCACATCCATAAAGTGATGTAAATACTTAGCTACAGTACAACCATGCCTGTAGCACTGACCTCAACTGAGTGCACACATTTAGTGAAAGCATTTTCAACTCGAGGATCCAGGTATCACACACAAAGCAAGCACTCAAAGTACGCACAAAACAAGCACGCACCTGAACACCCGGGTATCACACCAGTGAGTAAGCCGAGGTGTTTCAATGGAAGCACAACCAGGCTACTGTATCAACATGGTGAGCTCTGCATTCCTCCAGCAATGTAAACAAGAGACACCCCATGCAAAGTGCTACTTGCAACAACAGCCACAAACTTTTAAGCTCAGACAGACAAAAACTCATCTAAAAAGAACAGGTCTGGAGTATTTAAGTAGTAGCCAACAAAGATCTCAATGCAAGATGAGAATATACTGTGCTTAATGCAAGCAGGCCAGTGGGCAGATTATATACAGTCATTTGGCAAGTACTAGGCCCTGAGAGAATATAAACTGGTCATTTTTATCCCATTTCTGCCATTTCTTCATTATTTTCACAAAATAATGAAGAAAAATCACACACAGTCTTCCAGATATTTAGGCATACGAGAAATTTTATTATTTAAAAGCATCATACCATTTTAAAAAAAGAATTCACCACATTGATCCCAAGATTCCTGTTAATGAATATAATCACTTCAAGAAGCAGTGAATTTAGCGACGTAAGATTTCTGAAATATGTGAACAAATACTGTATTCCACATTCGAAATCTTTGTAAAGAATTTAAGTTTCATAGCTGGTGTCTTTTTCAAAGCTAAAATGCTAACAAGTCCCCAGGAAAGTCTTTTAAAAAGACAGTTTATATCCAGACAATTTTTTTGTACTTTCCAAGCAATAAGTGTATTTCACAGAAATGTTGTTTAAAACCCTTCAATAGGCAAAAAATTTAAGGTTATTCCTTAAGGTTATTCCTGAATTTCAAAAAATCTCCCACTTCTATCAGGAATGAGCAATGAGAATGGGGAAGCCCTCCTCTGATGTGTCAAAAAACATAAATCCAAGAACTACACAAGCATTCCACACTCCTTAGCGGGCACAGCATAAGTTGGTTTGGCAGCACACTTTGCTCTTCCCAGGTACAGGTGAAGTACTCAAGCCTCATGAGCTCTGAGCAGATCATACAGAAATGTTTAAAAAAAAAAAAAAAAAAGTGGTTTTGGAAAAAAAAATGTATTTGCAGTGCTCTTTCTAAAAACAGCACCAAAACAGAGCCCCATGAGCTCTGAGCAGATAATACAGAAATGTTTTAAAAAAAAAAAAAAAAAAGGTGGTTTTGGAAAAAAAATGTATTTGCAGTGCTCCTTCTAAAAACAGCACCAAAACAAAACTTTAGAAATGTATCAAGGTTGAGCTGCCAAATTAAGTAATTTGGAAAAAGCAGCTTCCCCTCAGACATAAAGGAGCAATAACAACTTGAAAATATACTAGTCCCTCCTCCCACCAAAATATTACTAAGACAGTAACAGCAACAAAATAAGCAACCCACCCACCAAAAAATTACCTATGCTTTTATTTTTACAAGCACTACTGAAACCTCTTCAATGAGGAATACCTTGCCCTATGCACTACACAGGATCATTTTTTAAAGGTGGATTTCTTTTTTAGGAAGATGGATTTCTTTTTTAGGAAGATCTTTTAGAAGATGGTCCTTCAAGTCTTTTTTTAATTGCTATAAGCTGAATGACAAGAAACACGCATTTCCGAGGTAAGAACACAAGCTCATAAGGGATGTTGGCGAGATTGAAGCTGCGCGCACGGGCCCGTGCGAGCCAAGCCTGTTTAACCGCTCCTCAAAACGGTGACCAAGGATTAGGAAAGGGGGGGGGGGGGGGGGGGGGGGCACGAGAGGGAAGCAAGGCTTTTAGGATTTCGGGGAGATCTCGGCTCCCAAAGCAGAAATGCTTTCCAGACAAGACACAGAAATATGGCCCGAGCTGGGCGCGACGGCACCGCCCCACACGGCGCGGCGACAGCAGAAAGGACCTTAAAATGGCGCCCGTGGGGGAGGAGAGCGGGTGAAACTGCGCAACAAACGCTGGCAGGGAGCCAGGCAGCGCCATCTTCCCGCTCCCCCGCGCAGCCGGGGCTGCCTGCCCGCCGAGCCCGGACACGGCCGGGGCCGCCGCCGGAGCCGCTCTCTTCTCTCCCCTGCAGTCCCTCGGCCACCCCGCGCTGCCGCGGCCGGGAAAGGAGAGCAGCGGCGAGCAGATAATGGCGAAAGGCAGAGGCCTCCACATCTCATTCCTCCCGACAGTGATTAGGAACAGCTCTAAGTTTATATAAACGTGCCCTCTTCATGTTGTTCGATTTTGCCCGGCTTTTAACATCTCTATACCTGCTTTCTGCCATCATCTGTAACTGAATTTTGTAATTAATACCAAAAAGCAAAATATAATTTACATACTGAATATCGTCCATGACTCAATAAATGTGAACAGTGACCATTTCAGAAAACCCCCTTCACAACCGACTACTCATTTAAGCCACAAGTAAAAAAAAAAAAATCTATTTACAAAATATTGCTTCTTTTACGCAAAATAATCCCAGCAGCACAAAGGATGAGATTCACATCCACTACAGCGAAGCCAAAGAGGTCACTCCAGAAAGAGACGCTTTATTGTGTTTTAAAGAGGCGTTACAATTAAATATTTTCTCTCTCCAAAAGAAAGTTTTTTAAATTAAATAAATAAAATAAAAGGCACATCGAAAAACTTGATCCCGAAAAGGCGAAAAAAAAAGCGCTTTAGCCCAAACCTACCGCCCGAGCATTTCGCGCACCCACAAAAAGCGGCACCGTTTCCATTCCTCGGTTAAAAGCAGGAGGCACGGAGCGATTCGGAGGAAATTGCAAATAAAAAACCAAACAAATCAAATCAAATCTAGTGGCGACACCGAAAACGAGGAAATGAGTGAAAAATAAATCCCCAGAAGGTACAACTCTGAGACACAAGCTCAAAGAAAAGACAAGATTAGGGTGGTGGCGAGTGGAAGGGGGAAAGAGAAAAATCAAGCCACGAGCGAAAAAGGAAAAAAGAAAAGAAAAATCCTTCCCAGCTGCACAGCCAGGAGAGAGACGAAGTGTCTCCATTTTCCCGACGAGGAGGAAGAAAAGACTGTTTCACAGACCACAGAGCTTTAGAGAAAAGCAAAGAAACGAGGGGGGAAAAAAAAGAGGGAGGAGATTTGAAAAGATTATTTTTCTTTCTCCCTCACACACTCTCTCTATCCCCCTCTCTCCCTCTCACTCTCTCACACTCACACATACACACACACTCTCTCTCCCTCCTCTCCTCTTTCCATCCCTCTCTTGATGGCCATCAAGGGGGCGGAAAAAAAAAAAAAGACAACAACAACAACTAATTTTAAACCGGCTCAATCAATGAGTCATTAAAAGAGATTTTTCTTCCCTCCTCTCCTGAATTTGCATGGCATCAGCAAGAAAAAAAAAAAAAAAAAAAAAAACCCACCCCAAACCTCTCCCCTCTCTGCAGCTATCAGCCTGGACCTGAAACCTTATCTCTCCCTTCAACCCCCCCCCCCCCCCCCCCCCCCCCCCCCGCGCCTTTATTTTAAGAAACAACTTTTTTTTTAAGTGCCCTCAGCAGCCACCACCACCAGCCTCGCGGAAAAAAAAAAAAATTAATATATATAGTTCATTTCCATGTGAATCCACATCTGCCCAAACAACAGCCACCCACAAAATATCCCTCTTCTTCCTCCTCGTCTCCCCTCTCGCTCGCTCTCTCTCTAGATATATATTTATATACATAGCCCCAGAGCCAATAGCTCTCTGGGCTGAAACCTAATATCCTGGTTTTGGCAACTCCTGGTTGTTAATTTGCTCCTCTTTCTTTTCTGTCTGTCTGGAGATAGATTTCCCCCCTCTCTTTTCCCTCCCCGAAGGAAGGGAGGAAGGAGGTTGTGTGTTTTTTTTTTCCTTGAAATTTTTATCACAAAATTATAATACACTCAAAGGGAAACTCACCGTCATGAAAAAGCAGTGCCTTGTCAACGGGGTTTCTTCGCCATCACATCAGGGGCTGGCAGTGTAGGAGAGAGAGAGGGAGAGCGAGAGAGCGAGGGAGGGAGGGGGGAGAGCGAGCGGGAGAGGGAGCGAGCGAGAGAGGGGGAAAGAGAAAGCGAGCGGGAGGAGAGCGCGGCTCCGCTCGGCTCCGCTCCGCGCCCGCACCGCCACCGGCACCGCACCGCCGGGCCCGGCACGGCACGGCCGCGCAGCTCCGCCGGGACACAACGCCGCAGACCGGCGCCCGGGCACACGCACCGCCGCCCTGGCATGATGAGTCCTCAGCCCGATCCTCGCTCCGCGTTTAAAGCCAGGCCCTTTAAAAACTTCGGCTCCTTTTTTTTTTTTTTTTTTTTTTTTTTTTGGGTTGTATGTTTCAGAAAGCCGTAGGTCTGGAGACCTAGCCCAGGCTGCTGGCTTTAGGTTAAAAGTTGGGGGTTGTTTTGGGTTACAAGGAAGTAAAACAAAGTTTTTATCCTATTAAAATCAATGTTAATGTTAACAATTTGGTTGATTTCCTTCATATTAAAGCTGTAAATCACTATAAGATTTGTGGACAGGAGGGGGTCACCAGAAAAATAAATGCAAGTGCAGGGGGCTCCCCAGAAAAATAAATGCAAGGTCACCTTGAGAAAGATAAGATTTGATCCCCTGGCAAGCTACAATATTTTAAGTATTTTTAGATATGTTCTTATCAGCCTTGCTGGAAACAAACTACATGAACTTCAACTACTTTAAAAAGTTTTGGGTAACCTAAAAATGTTAATTTGAAGTCAAAGGTTGTAGCACTGAGAGCTCATTAATGCTATTCTACAGTTTACTTCAGCTAAAAGCATTAATAAATTTAGTCAAAGCTTTTTTGTTATAGAAAACTATTCCAACTTCCACCATTCACTTAATTCATTCATTGAAAACAATTTAATTCTAAAAAACTAATTATTTTTGCAGATAATTCAGAGAAGCCTGGTTTATTAAAAAAATTTTAATTGAAAATAGATTTTTAGCATGCACAGTATGTATGGTAATGCTTTTAAAACAACAACAAAAATCTCTTTCAGACCCTTTTTCTGCTAGTAATTGTAATTCCCAAGGACTTTACTGTTTTATTCCTAAGTAACTTTTTTAAAACTCCTTAGAGACAAGGATTTGAAGACTTTCTTTGTTGGCTTCACACAGCTCAAAAAAAAAAAAAACCTCTTACAACGTTTTAGGTTTTTTGAGCAACTATATCAAAATGGTAATGGGCAGTGTTCTAAGTGGACTTTCTCAAAGAAGTTGGCCAGATTGCTTATCTTCCAAAAAAAAAATCTCAGCACATCAGCATTTTCAATTAGAATCTGGTTATATTATTGTTGAATTAATCAACCAATTCCCAAATTTGGCCAAAGCCAAGACTCACCTACAAACCTTGTTTACATGCATACCCCCAGTAGAAAACTGAGGTGAAGTTTCAGATCACTCCCACAGTGGAAGGGATGGCCCAAGCAAACAAACCTTAGCCCGAGTCCAACAGATCCTTTGTGCAGCCCAGACCCGACCTGCACATGGCCGTGCCTCGGCCATCAGCCAGATTATTAACTGCACTTTTCATGAATACAGCAAGGACCCCAACAGACACAGTATGGACAGAAACACCACATGCCAAAGAGCTCGGGAAGAGCTGTAAGCCTGTACTCCTGACACCAGTATTAGAAAATCCAAAAGGCCAAAACTTCAGGGTTCCTAACTTCAGTAAATGCTTCAAGGCCAAACTCTGCCCTGAATTCAAACCTACTCAGCTTCACTGGCTTTAGAGAATAATGCCCAAGCGAGAACTTGTATGGAGGGACACCACCAGCATTGTCATTTGGTTAACAGGAAGGAACTTCGCTTCAGAGGTTACAAGGCCAAACATCTGATCAGTATGTTGTTATTATTATTATTCTCCCAGTCCTACAGAAACCACAAATAGGAAGCAGGCAATACAATACAAAGAAGGAACTGGAGAAAGGAAAACAAATGATTTTGAATGGATTCTGTTACCATAAGAAACACAAGGAATCCTACACAAGTTTTCCATGATGTTACCATAACTTACTGTCCCTGAAGGATGTTTCAAGGCAGCATTGACAATAGCATTACTAAGCAGGTACAGTACAAAAAGGGAAGGAGAACTAACAGCATCTATACAATGAAGCTCCCTGCAGTAACTAGATTTCTCCGTATCTACACACATTTGCTATATTTGTTCACAGGTATAAATGATTACCAAAAAAAAAAATCAAGGGTTGGATGTAATTTTGTAGGTCATATTGAAGTATGCACTTAATGTTACCTTCAATTCTAAGAGGTCTGAATGTAGTCATCAGCTGTAATGTTACCACTTTCAGGTGTACTACAGAATTTCTGAGACCATGCTTGTAAAGAACTACTGCTTTTTCCTGGCAGGTACTCATGCTGTTTTAAGAGCATCACATGGTGTTTCAGCACTAGGTGTCACTGCCCCAAGAGGCTGCCCCTCTTCTCACTGCCTTTCTGCATGAGTACAAAAGACCCTTGTATGTCAACATTCTTCTACTCCAAGGTCACCTGCTCAGAGCTGTCCTCTTCAACCAGAGTCCTATGTACAATGCACAATCAGTTGCTGCCTTTCTTTAGCTTTTACAATCACATTTTCTTTCCTGTAGCAGCTTTATAAGGAGCAAGGGGAAATAAGCACAAGAAAGGAAAGACCAGTGTCAAAAGGAAGAACTCTTTGGAAGACAGGTGTCGGTGTAAAAACAGCTAATGGGAACATCATGTGCACTCATCACACAACAAACTACTTGGCTGTATTTTGACACCAGCTATCAAACTGTGACCATGCTGTTTAACAAATAACACTCTCATAGGTGTGCAAAGACACCAAATGTCATTTGGAGTGATTTGATACATTGCCCTAAAATGACAGACTGTGAAGAACTGAAAACTATGCTTAGATATCGAGAGGAGAAAATAAGGGGATACAAAGCACCCATCATTCTGTCTCCAGGTTTCTCCTACATCAAGTCACTTTGCTGATATTCAGCCCATTTTTTCAGGTCTGCATCACATGCACTCCAATTCTTGTGCAGTCATAAATTAGTACCCCAAAAGAAGGTAAGGCAGCGATAGATTCATAATGAAGAATTTAAGGACTAAGCTAGTGCATTAGAGGAATTAATTCCACAGCCATCCCAAGGTTTTTGCATTAATAGATGGTTTGTAACCTCAACTCACTGCATCCTTTCAGAGATATATTGCATGGAAAAGAATGCCATTTGCTTCAATGCAGCCTTGCTTCCTCAGACTGAATTGTTCAGCTCTATTGATGGCACTTCTTCCTCCCATGCTTTTTCTTTCCATTCATTAATGTGTTTCTTATGTCAGGTCATCATCAGTCACACCTTTTACTCATCTACATATGGATTAATTAATTATTTAAATAAAAATAAATAACTAAGCTTGAAGGCACAGAAACAAATAGGTCATCATTAAAGGGCACAGGCAATAGAGAGGTAAAGGTCACTTGAAAAGTAGGGCACCCAAATACAGAGGCACAAAGGCAGACAAGGACTTTAACTTGGAATATAAATGTAACATACCACATGAAATTTTCAGTTCAATATCCATATTAACCACCAAATTCTGAATAATTACTGCCACTATTTTGATGACTCACCCATAAAAATTACCTAAACATTACAATGTTTAGCTTGATACCATGCCTTCCTTACCCAAAACAGTACTTACAAAACCTGGGTCATAATTGCATGATGTAATTTGTAAAGCTGCATGACTCCAGTATCAATCATCATACCAAAGACAGGACTACATAACCAAAGGTATCTTAAGGGGTGATTGGTAAGAACATAGGTAGTAAGAGGGGGTAATGAAGAGTGAGCCTCAGAACAAGACATTTACACCAATACCAGAAGACAGACAGGTTTCTATGACTGGAGATTGTGTGAAGACCAACAGGGCTGGTATGTGATGAATCTAGAAAGCAGATTTTGGAGAACTGTGCTTCTCTGTGATGGGATCTGACCATACAGCAGACAATTAAGTAAAGCCAAAGAAAACATAGTGACTGGAGGTTCCATTTAAACAAATGGCAATTCAAATTATTACTGGAACAGATCAAGAATTACTATATCATTCTCTGGGTTATTTAAATATAGTCTCATATTCTTCAGCTTAAAGTACCCTAAAAAGGAGAATTAAGTTTGAAAGATTAATAGCTCTCACTTCCAAGTTAGAATAATCTTAAGATACTCAGCCACTGAAATGTATCAGGAAAAAAAAAATACCCTCGCCTCTGGAGACAGAACTTTACTACAGAAATAATGGAGAACTAAACTTGCCCAACTAACACTGCCAAAACTGATGGAAGAATTTAAACTAAAAATGATGTCAGAAACTGGGACAACCTTCTATCATATTCATAGTTAATTTGGCTAGCACAGATGAATGGTATAAAAAAATCAGGTAAGGACACAGAAATACAGACAAGTATATTAATGAGTAGATGGACACAAGGGTTTGGGTGTTGGTTTGTTTTGTTTGGTTTTTTTTTTTTTTTAAACATAGTACTAATTAAAAACAGCAGCCTGGCAATGAAACTAACAAAAGAAGCATTCCTAATACAACTGAGGTGTTGTGGATGATGTTTAACAAAATAAAACCAAACAAAAAAATAGGAGGAATTTAAGCAAAAAAAAAAGGAGGCCTAAAACATGAAATGAGGTGATATAGGGATACAGAAACACAGTGGAATAGTAAATTATATCAAAGGCATTTGTGTTCTTGAAAGAAACACAGACCTGCTAAGCTATACATGTATAAGGACAAGACAAAATGGATGAACAGAAGGGATGTTATGAATAAAGCACCACCTAAGTCAGAACTTTTGAGACAGAATAGTTTTACTTGGACATTTCTGAGTCCCTGCTATGAAATCAATTGGGTAAGATTTGGATATGAATGAAGATTGCTGTAAAAGAAGTCTTTATATTATCACTGAAAGGGTATCAATATGAATGGAATTTATTCTCAGATTTAGACTGAAGAACAAATGCTAATAATAGGAGGAGGAAGCCCTCATTCAAAATTATAGCTGACAGACTTTTTCCTAAGATGTTAAATGGTAAAAAGAATACAAGTACAGTTTTATCCACTAGGGAATATACTACAGGAGAGCTAATATGAAAACTTGGATATGACTTGGAGTTAATGCTATTTAAATCACTCAAAGATAAATGGAATATGTTTGCGAGTAAGAGTCACAATTCCAAAATAGAAAACTTTGATATACTTTGATATTGAACCTGAATGGTCCATTGAACTGGCTAGTTCAATAACCACAGTTTTCTGAAATGCATTAAAAAAATAACTGTAAAAGTATCTGAAGTGTAAAGCAAGGCAATGCAAAAAAAAAAAAAAACCTCTCAGAAACTCCATAACTAATAGAATAATTGCCTCAAAGGGAGAGTCCATAAAGCAGAATCTGTCACTTAGTACTAAGTTTCCAGAATTTAACTACAGTTAATTAGCAAGTTAGGATTCTATATAGCAGTCAGCAGCTAGACCTGGACCAAACCTATGAGATTTGCTGCACTTGAGCTCTTCTGTTTAGCACATTTGGGCCTTGCTTTGTTAATCTGAAAGTACCTTTTGTCATAAAATACTATGCTTTGAAGCCTGTCCCTGGTTTTGAAGGATAACTCATTTTCGTAGAAATCAATTTGTTTCACCACCTTTGGCACTGGAAATAGCAGATTCTCAGAAGGGACCGGCTCAGGCTAGTTTCAAAACAAGTGCACCTTGACTGGTTGGAATATAATTAGTATCTTAAGCATTCCCAAGGATTACATTCAAACCTTTTGCATTACTCACAGCAATTAAGTTGCACCAAGAAAATTACATTGTTTTAGCTTTAACACTCAATAAGTGATTTAAAAACAAACGTATTTTACATTGTTCTGGCTTTCCATATGGCCAGATATATAAAGCACAACATTTTAGTGCCACAAAAGCTTTAACAAAAAAAACCCAATCAGTATGCCAAACATAACATTCAAAGAATTTCTTTTTTCCAAATGAACCGAGATACAGTAACTCAACATTCACTTTTAATGAAGCCCCATTGCACCATGACAAATGTGCAGCCTACAGTATCTTAAATGAATCATCATATGGCTTACATCTTTAATGCCTGATCACAGTGCCAGAGGAGTTCAAAGAGCCCTTACTAAAACCATCAGTAGAAACGCTGGTTGCCCAAGCCACTGAAGTACCTACTTTGTAGCCAGAAGTAATTAAGTTGCTCTGCTAATCTCTGCTGCAGAAACTCAATCTAACAGAGAGAGATCACATCTATCAGATAAAGGCTCCATGCAAGGCACCGAGGCTGCTGCTTTTCTTGAAAACACACACAGTATTTTTGTGCATGTAACAGTGCAACACACATGCATAACACCCTTTAGAATAAAATTGTTAGTGTAGGGAATAGATACTGATGAGAAGGAATAATTCTACTTCCTTCCTCTGCTTGAGAGACTGCAAATCTGTATCTTGAGATCACGCCGCATCTATGAGGTCCCTGACTTTTACAAGCACAGGAACCTCAGGTGTAAGAATCCATTATTATGAGGCTGAACACACAGTCGCCTCTATGGATCTCCCTTTTATTCCCCACTCTTCTTAAAATAATGATGGAACGAGACAGGATCTTGAACCTTCAGCTGAACTACACAATACATCTCACTTAAAAGGCTATGAGGTAATGCTGTTGAGCTATGGCAAATCAGTAGGAAATATTTCAGGCAGATAGCATTCATGACTGATAACCATGGGACACAGATTTAAACCTGGAAGCATGCACGGAGCTCATGTTTCCAGAGTTTCACAGCACTAGATCAAAGTAAACAAGTGCAACCTGCAAGTTCACATAAAATAAATGACACTGTACAGTTCAAACAATGGCAGAAGGTCTTACTGAAATGCCTGCTATCTACTTTGAAGCCAGAGAGGAACAAAAGTACATGCAAGAGGGGGAAAAGTAGGAAAATAATATAACAGAGAGAATTATGTGCCTTCTCATATCCTCAAACAGCCAAACTACTTGTTACAGCTTACCCAAGTGACTCCAAGCCTGAGCTAGAACGCTTACATTTTATTCAGGTGGTTACTGTCTGGCACACTAAGGAGCCTCAAAACATAGAAGTTGCTGCCAGAAAAGTCAGGAAGAAAATTGTCAGTCTTTGTATGACCACCAAAAAAAAAATTAAAATGCACATGCCAATAGAAATTATACAAAAACCTCTAATTGTAAGGGTGGAAAGTAATTTTGGAACATCAGGATTAAACAACTGGAAGAATTTTACAGCTTCCTTTTTAATTTTTCATTATGGTCATACATTTCACTTTCTTGTGTCTGGGTATATTTTTGCTTTTAACCAAAAAAACAATTGTGTGCATTAGCAAGGTGAAAAGCTTCCAGTCTCTCTGAAGCTCCTATTCATGAGGGTATTTGGTCCTCATTGATCCAAACGTCCAATCACCCATAGAAAAAACAATTCAGAATACCTAGCATCCTAAGTGCCCAAATACAATAAGGAGTAATTATACTGCACCATAACATTTACAGCACTTAACATTTATTCTGTGCTGTGTATACTAATGTTTGCTTGCAATCCTTACAGTATGAAGTTCTTTTAGCCAGGGCAGTTCATCTACTGGCTCACATCTGCATTAACAATACCAAAGCCATACTCCAGGAATATTTGTGCATATGAAAAACAGCGAAAACCTTTTTCTGTCAATATCCTCACGTACGGGATAAGCACTTCCATCACTGTTACCACCTGTATTAGCTAGACTCAAGGGAACATAAGGCAAACAGAGCCTGCTAGCTAAAATGAAACTTCCACATCTTTCAACAACATGGAAATAAGGATATTTTTTCTTATGGAAAATTAATTGCACCATATTGCTGCCTAATGGAACATTGCTGCAATAACTGCAGGAGTGGACTTGACTATTTATTTGGAAAAAAATACCTAATACTTACTACTAAATGTATAATTTAAACACATTGCTAGGAAAAAAAAATCAAGTGAGAATATTCAAATACCCTTCCTTTTTCATGACTGAGCACACTTCCATTCTACAGCATAAGAGGTTTTAATTTTTAAGACTCAATCTAATTCTTCATAGACAAAATTCTGAACACTGCAGTAGTGCAACAAATGTAATGCTGCATTAAGAGCTGTAATGCATCAAACACTTCACCTAACCCACTGGCATCCAACCTGCTCCAAAGTGCTACTGTTGCATAACCATCCCTTGCAATCCCCTTAGTTTATATGTTAACACTGTTAAGGAAAGAATATTCTCTACGTTAGTGTGAGTCCTTCGCAAGGATTAAAGGCATTTCACTGCCTTTCCTCTGTCATCCAAACTGGACTGACATTACCACATGTAAGCTTCACATACTCTGTACATTCTAACAACATTATATAATTTCTAACATAGAAATTAAACCACATTTTCAGGAAACAGAAAACAACACTACTACTTTCAAGGTAAAGGTACTTTCAAAGGCTAACCTGAAGTGACATAGCAGCCTATACTTCCAAACAGGAACATAAGGTAAAAAAACTCATGCTATTGCCAAACAGAAGACAGAAAAATCAGGTTATCTACTTTGGGTTTACCACCTTTTTGTTTCAATGGATAGTCTTAGGTCCTGTGTCAATTTGTTACAAGTAACTTCAAAATGACAAGGGAAAGGAGAGTATTTGTAGAAGTAGACAGGAGTTAGATTTGTTTTCATATTACTAAAAGAGTGCTTAGTGTTAACTTTCTTTGCATAAATTAAAATCCAAATAATAGAAAATAAAATTCTCCAATTAATACAGCAAAACAATGGCCACTTTTTTGCTTTGCAGACAGTGTACTTAATATCTGGTTGCTGCTGCAAATTTACTTTAAAACACATCATCTAATTATAAAAGCCTTCCTTCCCATGTTTCCATGTAGGCCTCTGTGGATTGCTCACACAGTCCTCCCTCTGGGGCACAGTAATCCACTGGCACTGCTCCCACTTTTCCCTGAAGAACCGAACTCTCCTCTGGAACAAAACACTCCAGAAACCAAATAAGCAGCGAGGAAGAAATCGATCCACCTGGCAGCACCTTTGCAGTTACCTGCAAGGCTCAGCAGCCTTTTCCTCGGCCACTTCACTGCGGGAGCGGGAGACAGCGGGGAAGGTTTATTAGAGCACGGCGCGCACGGAGCCTCCCGCAGGCGCCGGCCGTGTCAGCCTGCCAGGGGCCCCCGCCCGGGCAGGGGCCCGGGACCGCCCGGCGCCTCCGGAGCACGGGGCAGCACGGGGCGCCTCGAGGCGGCCGGCGCGGCCCCGAACCCGCCTCGCCAGCCCCGGCCCGCCGCTCGCGGGAGCCCCGCGCCCAGGGCCGGCGGCGACGGGCGCGGCCCGGGAGGGGAGGTGTGGGTGTAAGCACAGCAGCGGGAAGAAGCGGACAGCTCCGCGCGGGCACAGCGGGGGAGCGGGGCGGAGGCTCATTTATATCCCGGGCGCTAATTTGGGAAGCGGGCTAACCCGCCCCGCACGGCACCTGCCGCCAGCACTCACCCCATCCCGCGGAGAGGCGGCGGCCCCTTTAAGACCACGGGAGACCCCTCCCTCCGGCCCTCCCGCCCTCCCCCGCCGCGCGCCTCCCGGGCCGCCAATCGGCGGCGGCGACGCAGCCAGGGCTGCGGGCAGCCAATGCGCGCGCTGCTTGGTGACCGCAGGGGAGGCGAGAGGCAAGATGGCGGCGCCGGGAGAGGCGGCGGCCGTGGCGGCTCCCTCACAGCCCGAGGTGGCCGCGGGCTCGGCCGCCTCCGCCGTGGTGCTGCCGGAGCGGCTGCAGCGGCGGGAAGCGGAGCGGCAGCAGGGCGTGGAGCGGCAGCGGCAGAAGAAGGAGGCGCAGGTAGTGAAGGAGGAGCAGAGCGAGTTCTTCCTGGCCGCCTTCGCCCGGGAGCGGGAGGCCGTGGAGGCGCTGCTGGCGGCGGGGACGCTGGAGGAGGCGGCCGCCCGCCTGCAGGCGCTGCAGAAGCTGCTGACGGGCAGCGTGCGGTTCCTGGCGCCGTACGAGGTGCGGCAGGGGCAGGAGACCGTGGCGCGGCTGCAATGGGAGCTGGCGGCGCGGCGGCAGCAGCTGCAGCCCAAGAAGAAATTCGCCTTCCGCGCCCTCAAGAAAGAAGCGGCCCCGGGCAGCGCCCCGCGCCCCGCCGAGCCCGCCCCGCCGGAGCCCGCCGCGCCGAGCTCCGGCCTCGCCGAGGGTGAATCGGGCGGGCCGCCGCTGTGCGGGTTCAGCGGCGCCCAGGACGAGGAGCTGGAGCTCGGCCCCGCGGAGCTGCTGCAGCGGGACGTGCTGCTGTCGGAGCTGCGCGGCTGCCGGGTGCGGCTCCGCGGCAACCCCAACACGCTGCGGGTGCGCGACTGCAGCGGCTGCACCGTGCTCTGCGGGCCCGTGTCCACCTCCGTGCTGGTGGACGGCTGCAGCGACTGCCTGCTGGCGCTGGCCTGCCAGCAGCTCCGCACCCACCGCACCCGCGACTGCCGGGTCTACGTGCAAGTCACCAGCCGGGCCGTAATCGAGGCCTGCTCTGAGGTCTCCTTCGCCCCCTACTCCTGGAGCTACCCTGGTATCGAGGGAGATTTCGAGTCGTCTGGGCTGGACAGAAACAGTAACAACTGGAACCTGGTGGATGACTTTGACTGGCTGGCGACTGACAGGCCTTCCCCGAACTGGAGCCTGATCCCCGAGCAGGAAAGAATCACTTGCTGGGACTGACTGCGGAGGCAGCTCTGCCGTGCGAGAGATCCTCATGTAAACGCACTGATCCACAAACTGTGGGACTTAATCCACAATATGCCATTAAATGATTCCATTCTGTATTCAAATTTGAAATTATAATATATGGCTGGCTTTCTTAGTTGAAGCATACCAGTCAAATAGAGTTTACTGTTCTTGCACAAGTTGCTGCTATAATCTGTATGTATCACTGGGATTTGCCAATTTCTGAAGTACTTCATTGTGAGTTACAGCTTATTAAGGTGGGACGAAGGCCACTGATACACAAACACAATGAGCCTCTGTTAGAGCTGTTGTGCTGCTTTCACTCAGGCAGACTCTGAATTAGCTGCAAATAGTGCAAACTGTACTGGAATGAAAAGATCAAATACCAAATTTCCCATGTTTGTGTGGTTCTCATGACAGCAGCGCAGTGTATCTTAGAGGGAGTGCAGGGCAGGACTGCTGTGAGGTAATGGGGTGAAAAAAGGTTCATTTCAAGGGAGAGTTTGTAACTGCACAGCGCAGCAGACTGAGATGCATCCTAGGCTGTAGTACAACAATGAGCCAGTTTCTGTTGGTTTGGGTTAAATCTGCAAGTTGGCTTTAGGCTTTTATTTCCAGTGAGAAAAGTCTAAAGGAAGTATGGTTCTAATAAACATCTAATGCTCTCCTAATATATTGATTACTTGAAATTCAGAAACCTATGGAGTCTGTATAAATACTAAATCTTCACAACTTATAAATATCATGTGAAAGGATGCTGCTTCTGTAAGCAGCTCAAAGGCATCCAGCAAGTGCTGATGAGCACCACAGAAGCTGGGTTAACTGTTCCTCTGCAAGATGAAGCTTGAGGGGTGTTCAGGGATGTCCCACTAGTTTTCCAGACAACAGGCTTTTTGTGCTGTGATCCTAATTTGCAGCACTCTGCTGCTGCTGCATATGTGCAGTGTTGGCAGAGAGAGTCAGTAAAACAGAAAGATGAGGTGCTATATTCCAATTCCAGAATTGCATATTACCTTGCATAAAGTGCAGAATAATTTAAGTCTCTTCACTCCTGCTAAATAATAATAAAAACGTAGCAGCACTGTGGAATGCAATGTCTTTACAGTGCCCTGTTAGTGGTGCTGAAGTGACCACTGTCCATATATAAAGTATACATAGCAGTTTTAGGTTTCTAAAACCCCTCCTTAACTTGTGACATTTTTCAAGAAATAATTGTTTATCTTGCCTTAGCATAAAGCTTTATTGTAAAACTTCAAATTCTTTACGCTGTGCAGCCATCATCTATGTGCCTCAAACAGACACTGAATCCTAGCTGAACCATCAAAAACTACATCACTGCCAGGGGAAGTACCTGAAGCTTCACTTGGGTGCTCGTCTGGTTTTGAGCAGAAAATTTTTTTATATAAGTTGTTTTCAGCATATTTAATTTAAAGGGGAGGGCAAAAGGGATTTTTTTTTTTTTAATATTCCTGACAATTCTCAGTTTTGTTTACTTCTGTTAATGTGTATTTTTTGACTGAATTGGATTTTGCATTTCAAATATACTTGTTTTGAATTATTTTACTTGTTCCTTTACTAATGAGTCTTCTTTGCACTGACAGCATGATGAAATGATTTAAAGAATACACCCTGAGTCTTACTTTAGTGTACATAATTTATATCCTTTGTTAGAGGGATGTGATCAGTTGAGGCTGTCCAGTTATTTTAATTTTAACACATCCATCTTGTTACAGAACCTGATTTTGTAGTTCATTGTTCTCCAGATCGATCCTGTTAGCATCCTCTGGCCTTGAGACTGCAACATGTTCAGCCTGTAAGAACTACAATAATGCCTTTGTTCTGCTTGCCCAAAGCTCTAAACATTTACACCTTCCTGTGGCAATGGATCCCTGCCGATCCAGACAGGGAAAGAGACCCCAGGCTGTGGCAGGAACCAGGGATGCACTGAGGCTTCCCAGCCTTCCTCACATGGAAGTGCCATGTTCTGTTCCAGCTCTTGGCCTGTGGCATGCGGTACTGCCTGAATATACAGAGCAGGAGTCAAAATATGGAAGTTTAAGCATCAGTTTCTCTCTGAAGTTGCTTCCTTGGGGATGTTTTTCACAAACCAGTTATTGACATCCCAGCTGCTAATGTTTTCTTTCCTCCAAATACTTAACTTTGGTCAAACCATTAGTTAGGTAATACTTTTCAGAACATGGTGCCAGACAATTACCCTAAAGATTTAGCATTACCTTTGTAATACAAAACACACAACTGGCTCTCAGTCTCAGGCACGGTGTGAAACAAGGAAATTCAATCTGAGAGCAGTAAGTCCAGAAAAATTTGCTCAGGCAGATACCTAAATGTGATTTATAGTTCTAAACATACAATTTCATATCTATATATATACACACAGAGTTGCACATTTCTGTAAACCTTTTTTTAATTATACTTTCCTGATGTAGAATCATAACAGAAATTCATGACTGTTTTGAAACAACAGACTGTTAATGTTGTATGAGAATTTAAGCACTAGTAAAGGTTTACTAGCATTCTATGGACTATTCAGTATAGAAATTGCAACTTTTGTGGGTCTCTAAGGAAGAGAAGCCAAATCCCTTAAGTATTTCTAATCAGCTAGCAATCACCCTGCATAATGTACAACTGAAGTGAACAAAGTCTCTTCAAGAACTCTGGCTCTGGTTTGCATCACAGTGCCAACAGTTCCACCAGGAACTTCTTTAGAAATCATGTACTTTAAAGAAATTAATGATGCTAGACATCACCAGGGGCTGAAAAACAAATGCCTGCCAGAGGTGTGGGATAACAGAACATCAGCACCACAAACCTTGTGTAAATTTGCCCTGAAGAGAAGGAAACAGGCAGAAAGTTTCTAAAAATAGTGGGGGCCATTGAGCTGCAGAACCATTTTCCACGAGGAGTCAGGAAAGCCTCCTGTTTCAAACAGTTTTGAAAGACAGCCTAGTTGGACAGGCCTGCTCCAGCCAGTGACCTTACCAAAATCTTTTAAAGCCAGTGAAACTTCCTTAGTCCACCACAGGGCTGTTACTCAGCGTTGTAAAGCTCCTGTGTGTGTCTGTGGAGGAAATAAAACAGTTCTATGCAAAGATGCACAACATGGAAGCCAAGGGAGAAAACTGAGGCCATTTTCCAGGCCATAAAGGGCCTTGAGTGTTGCTGTTTGTTGAGGCACTGAGGGGTGGCACAGACCAAAATTTGTGTCCAGAGAAGCAGCCAGGAGGTTTGCTGCTGCTTCCATGGGGCCATCCCCTCACCCCAAGGTCTGTCCTGAGAGAGATCAAGCCCCCCTTTGGAGGCCAGGCATTTCCCTCCGTCTGCCCCTGCTTCTCTGAGTAACAGGAAAAGAAATGGAGTTACATTCTCTTTTTAGCCAGCTCTCTTTCACTTAAATAGATTCTGATGTGAGCTGTAGTAGAATTGTTTAGTGAAAAAAAACAGGTAAGAAATACAATTTCCTACATACTTTTATGCATTATATTTTTGAAGGCATGGATTTTTTTTTTTTCAAAGTTTCTTATTTAAGCTATAGCTGCATGTAGACAAGGTTCAAATCTCACTGGTTTTACCTGGAATTGCTTCAGGTTTTACTAAATTTCATCACATACAAGGAAAGACAGGAATAGCAAGAAAAAGAATTAGGCAACTTGGGGAAATTCAGCATTTCCATTCACATCATGATCTGATTTATCTGTCTGACTGGGGGATCCACCTGTTGTTCTGAGATGTTTTCCAGCAGTAATGACTATAATGTGCTTTTTGTAAGCTTCTTTTAATTCCCAACATATTTCTTTCCTGTTTCTGCAAATATAAATTTTGATTTCTAACTCTTTTTTTTTCAGCAGTGAATGCTACACCCCAAGCATCACAGTAACACAAACAAATACTCATAATGACCATCCTGGAAGTAAAAAAAAAGCTGTGTTTTCTGAACATGTTACACACCACCACATGAATGATGGCTGAAATTCTGGGGATTACCCAGAGCTAAACCACACCAAAATCCCCACAGTGTGCCCCAGCAAAGTTCAGGAGCCACAGAGTACAGCAGGTCAAATCACTCTTCCCAGGATTTTCAACAATCCCAGCAGTGAATTCAGAACTTGCCTCTGTTTCTAGCCTCAGAACCTGCAGTCACCTCACATGCCACAAAAATAGTAGCCTACCAAGCTACCTGTGTAAGGAGGTAGAAAAAAAGTCATAAATCAGACTTTTCTCCACCTGATAATCGAACAGTGAGGTACAGGATTTTCATCACATTGTTCCTTGGGAGTGTCCGGGTTCACACCTCTGAGTTACTATTGAAAGCAAAACCATAGGTGAGGCCACATGAGCAAACCTCTCTACACAATAGCTTCCCATCAAAGGTAAAACTAGACATCATTATTCTTGCAGTGAAATATAGCCACTCCTAGGGAAAGGAAAGGTGGGGGGAAAAAGCCTCAGAAAGGCACACACTTCATATCACAGAGCAGTGTGAAAGAAGGATTGGGCCAGGAAATGATTCTTTCTACAGAGGGCACTTCCATAGTTTAGGCATGTATGTATTTTTATCTTTTACCCCTGAAGATGGAAAGATTAAGATTGATCCAGGGCTGAGCACCAGACTGTTTAACAAATACCAGATTAAATAGTTTACATTCCTCTCTCTTAACTGATAAATTTGTACCTTATATGTAGGTTAGCAGGCATAGCTTTTTGGAAAGGTATCAATATTGTATGGTTATGCATACACATTATAATTTTTTACTAGATTTTGAATTTGAACAGATTCATGGTGAGATCAATAATAATTTGAATATTTTATTCTACCTTTTTTTTTCTCCAATATTGGCATATGAATTATACAGTTGAATTTAATAGACAACTTCTGAGGAGTCCATTAACTCAAACATTCTTGCAGCAATTAGGTTTTATCTGCTATGGATCGATTTCAGCATTTTCTATTCGGAGTGGTAATAAGTGCCAAACTAAAGGCGAATTGCAGCCAAGAAAAAGCTTTTTAAGAAAAGCAGATGCCAGGCAAAAAGAGCTTTCTTTTTTAAACTGTCCCCAGCCCAAAATGCTTCTCGATAATCCCCCATCGCCTTAATCTCCTCCAGGCTGCTGTGCCAGAGACAGCCCTTGGCTGCCCGCTTTGTGCCGATGCTTGCACAGGGTTTGTCGGCTCCGTGTCTGGGACACGGGGAAGCATTCATTCCCACTTTAAAGAGTGTTAACCAATCCCCTTTAAAACCCCCAAGCACGGCGAGTCAAGTTCATGGGTAGGGTAGTTTCTGCCACTTGAAGTCCCCAGCTGGTATTGAGCTGTTGAAAGCTGCTTAAATAAACAGCGCTTTTCCTAATCCGGGTTGTTCTGGTAGTGCTGCTTTCTGTCCATGATGACTTTAAAGGTACCAGCCGAAGTCTCAAAGGTCTTATTAGTAGGTGAGTGTCCCTTCCTGAACATCAGACCCAGGATTTTTACTGATCATCTCACAGCTAACGCTAGCAATTTAGCAGTGATTTATGAGGACTCCTCCCGTTTCCTTTTCTTATAGGCAGAAGAGTAAATCTGGAGAGATCAGTGAGCCCTGAGGCACGTCCTGCATGTTCTACTTCACTACTTTGATTCCTGAATTAGAGGAAACATCATAGTGTATACACTTACATGATTTTGCTGCATCAGATTTATCATGGGTATCTAAATGTTAAATTATTAATCTGACAGGTATTCAGATTCATCTGTGCTCCTGAATACGAAATTACCCATATCCAGAGCAGCACTAGGCTTACATCTGCTGTGGGCAGGAAGTATTTCACTGTATGTCCTCATGACCTGTAGACCTGGTACAGAATTCTTTTCCACTTTAATTACAGTTTCACTGTCATCACTGACAAGAAAGGAAATGGTTTCAAGTTCCTTTACCTAGAATTAACTCCAGGCTGTCAGATAAATGCATTTTTCAAACTCAAGTCTCTTAGCTGAGCCCTGAAAGAGTCAGTGAAACACAACACGTGCTACCTTGGTTGTGGGATATTTTGCCAGGAGAGATGCTATTTCAGAACCATTACTTATTGCACAAAAACATGAATAGGCTCTCTCAAGAACCAGCACTTCTCATCCTCTTCACGGCCGGAGAGAATAGTCCCTGATGGATAATTACCTTCCCTCTCATCTTACATGCCCACTCTTCACCAGCAAGGGCAGCAGCAGTGCAAACCACCAGGTTTGCTTTAGAAAAATCCCAGTTACTAGCTGCTCTCCAGCTCAGTGCATTAGCACCAGGATGGGCTAAAAAAGGTCCACCAGAAAAACCTTCTATCAGGACAGGAAGAAGCAGTGAGCTGCCAGCCTTTGTCCTTCCTGAAGGAACCTTCAGCATTCCAGGATCCCAAATGGTAAATAAGAGGCGTCCATGGTACTACAGAGCTGCAGACGATCAATAAGTTATATTTCAGTGCTTGGGCTTTTTAATTACTTGTGTTATTATTTTTCACACTTGCCTTCCTCCTAGCACATCCCTTCCCCTCTGTCGCCGGGGGCCGGTGGCCGTG